TGATAGAAATAGTCTTTGACCTCCTCTTCTTCTTCTTCTGTAGGTGCGTGCACGTTCATCAACGTCATATTGAAAAATTTCGTTCTGATTCTCAAAGTGCAAATTTTTCACTTATTGGTTTAAAGTCTATTATTGCGCTTTTAAATTCTCGTTCTATTACAAAGGCTACACCAAATTCCTTATTGCCTTCTGCTTTACCACTGTAACATACAGTGTGTTTCTTTAAGTCCATGATTCCTTTACCCAGCCATCTAATTTCCTGTATGGCTGTGGTTTTCATATTGTACTTATCTATCTGTTCTAGTACCGATTTCATGGCACCCGGTTTATTGAGGGTTTTCACATTCCATGTACCTAGAGAGTAGTCCATATTCTTTGCCAAAAGCCGTCTTCCATTCTGTTGAGGTTTCCGAGGCTTGATTCCAGGTTTCGAGACATTTATATTTTTTTACGGTGAGAGGTCGTCAGCCTCTCGCCCAACCCCAAACCTGGAGGACCAGGGTATCTCTTTTAGTCTCGGTCATCCCCTTTGACCTGTCCTTCATGGGTGGCCCTACCAGTAGCTATGCTACCGCCGACATAGCTCTCAGAGTCATTTGACCACGCAAGCCCCTCCACTAAGTCAAAGTAGAGACGCCATCGGGGGGTTCACACAGACATACCGATAGCAATAACTACCCCTCACAGAAGTACAACACTGTTGCATGTCCACTCTCCTTGCTGATTAAATGTAACAGTTGGGTCTCAGAACATATTGAGGTGTACCTTTGCCGCACAAAGGGGTTTGTACATACCTACACAGAATTTGTCGAAGATTCATTTCCGGTATTAGAGAGATTGATATGTGACACTAAAACAAAGAACAAATTCCGTGGTTTTAGTCTGCAAGCGAACTATAGCGACAGAGCGACCGCCGCTAATCGGAGAAGTTATTGCCAACTTTAGCGGATAGAGGGTGGTCAGCTCAACGGATCCCCACGACCTTTAATCTCGGTTTTCTAGACCGGAGCAGCTATTTCCTTGAAATAACTCCTCAGTTATCCTCACGAGGCAGAGTGGACCCCGTTCCAGACCCACTACTTCTCAGAAAAACTGGTAGCGCCGGGAATCGAACCCGGACCTCTGTACTGTAGCCAGGAACTCTGACCACTAGACCACAGAGGCGGTCTGATATGCGAGACTCTTCATATAGTATAACACAAATGTTCACCTGATCTGGGCGCTCTTCAACGTCGTCGACGTCCATGTACGTTGTCACTGTCGTACACAAAGTGGTTTTGTCGAGGGGCCAGCCGTTTTTGCGACACACACTCTGTACCAAGGCCGTCAGGAATGACTCGGGGACATGAAGCCCTGACAGCCACATGACCATTGGGTCACCACTCGCAGCCTGCAAAAAAGTTTACAAATACCATCTGCTTTCCTTTTACTAAACAAATATGTCTTAAGACAGTTCATGAATACATATTTACATATATACAATAGTCTATTATCTATCTGTTCTTATATCCATCCACCTATTCACAAAATCTGGAAATATTTGCTACCGCTGTGTTGTCTAAAATCCCTAAGATTAAAGTGCACAAAACAGTAATTTCATGAGTTGCTTTACAGGTACGAGTATATGGATGTTAGGCCGAGAAAGTGGCAAATGTTTTGACATATGTAAACCAAAATCAAATAATAAGGAGCATCATAATTTGCTCTCTTCTTTTAATAATATTAGCTCGAATAATGAATGAGTTATAATGACAGAAACATGTAGCGCGAATATTGACACGAGCAGTGCATACAAAACTTTAGTCGGAAAGGCTCACGGGTAGAGGTCGCTTTGAAGAAATGTACGTCGTAGATGGGAAAATTATGCAGAATGAATCATGCGGAAATAGTGTGTGAGGGTGTAAGCTGGATTAAACTGGCTAGAGTTAAGTACAATGGTAGGTCTTGCGAACACGGCAACTGGCTTTAGAGTTCAGGAAGGACTGGAAATTTTTGAGTAAATGAATAACTACCAAATTTCCAATAAAGACCCTGAAATGAAATGAGTTAAATGAAAGTGTGGACTGAAATATGTCTGTCTTACGAACCAGAGATATAGATAGCAAATGAACACGAAGCAGTGGTAGAGAAGAATAAGAAATTGTTATACTGCACTGCATTTTTGGGCATTCAGTACGCAACTAACTTTTGGTATAGGTTAACATATTTAAGGTATTTCTGGAACACATTTAGTTCTAACAGTGTTTGATATTAACTAGTCACTTGCAAATAACCTGTATTCTCCACATAAAATTAATAACAAAATAGTGGTAATAGGGAGATGTATCTCTCTATAACATCATCTCCAAAATTAATTGAGGAATTCACTTAAAATTGTTATTGCAGGTTCTGGACAAAAAATTTATTGTGCCTATGCATGTCATCAATCCAATGTAACCCATAATTTACATAATGACCAAATGAAAGTTTATTAATTTTATAAATCCTGGAATTGAACAGTGCGGTATATCATTCAAAGTCCTTTACAAAGTATTAATTATATTCATTAAAATGTACATGTTCCTGATGTTTTGAGCCTGAAATGATTAATGAAATATGTTAGAACATAGATTATGAACACGGCAATGGTGCGAAGTTGGCATGTTGAATATGCACCAGTTGAAATCGCGGTCATAACTGTATCATGGGAATTCTAGACCTCATAATTTTTAATTTAAAGCCCTTGCTGTGTTCATCATACTGACTGAAACAGCTGAAGGAGAGAAGGTGTCAGATTTTTCCCAGAATTTTTTGATATTGATTCTGACCTCTCTAATGATTAATGTCGATCAGCTGTCGAGCTCAAAGGGAAGAGAAAACTTTATATTTCGTTCCAAACTACGAGTAGTGGTTCATAAGCTCGAAAGCGAAATCCTCTGGAGCGTGACAGCAGTAACATGTTCTGGGATTAACGAAGAAGGGGACATAGACCAGAGTAGCCTCTATCAAGAAAAACGGTAATACAACAAAATATTCCGTGAAATAACAAGTAACGCAATATATAATTCCTGATTAATTTCTGAAAACATTAGTTCAGCTACTTTATATTGCAACATTGCTGAATTATGTATAGCACAAAAATATTTGATATTGCCTCAGTCTCAACCGTGCCTTTCTTAAAGCAGCACGTGATATGAACAAACGGCGCTTCCAGCTTCGTCGGTTCAAAGCGTCTGATGAATTTTACATAAATTTGTAGGGCGTAAAAAAATATGTAATCGCACTGGGGGCATCATCACGGCCACGGTTTAATAGTTCACTGTACTTCTTAATTTCTCCATCCCAAACATCATATGTCTTGAAGCAGACTGCTTTTACCGGTTCTCGCGGTCTTTTCGCTTGCGGATTTCTTATATTTTTCCTTCTACCCTGAAGATGGAGGCGATACGTTCCTCCGAAACGTCGGTTAACACCACATATACACGGTGCCAAATCCCAGAAGACTGCTTTCTTCATAGTCACCGCCGTGAAAACCTTAAATCTTACATGTCATATGTCTTATATATCGGGAAATACTGTTCTGGTTCTTCAACTGTAGAAATGTTAAGCTAACATTTAAGTATTCGAAATGAAGATTTATTAGGAATCAGCATGGAAAAGTTTAAATAGCATATTTATGTTGTTAGGAAATGTATATGAGTTTTACCCATAATGTATACTGCTGGATTCTTCTCTCAAAATGGTCCATCCAAGGCCCTAAGCTCTTGCAAGTAACTGGAGCTAACTTTTTCCACGCATGGGGTAGTTGGCTATTGAACAAGGAATCAGCCATGTTGTCTAGAAGCGTATCGGAACCGATTTCACCAGCCAGAGCCTGCAAACATGATTTGATAGAACTTTTGTGTTCAGCAACGGAACTGGTGTTACTTAAGCTATGAAGAATATGTGAAACACAACATTCTTAAATCCATAAACTTATTAATTCTATTTAGAATATGGAAGAATTGCCTCAGAAATGGAATGAGTCTTATCACTGTACCAATTTATAAGAAGGGCGATAAAATTAAATTCTAATTATCGAGCCATATCACACACCGTCTTCATACAAATTTTTATTCGTTGTTCGTCTCTCAAGGTTAACTCTAAATGCAAACGAAATTTCTGGGGATCGCCAGTGTGGATTTGGAGGTAATAACTGAAATGCTTATGAGAAGCTCTGCTTTCGTCACATACAGCAGAACAGATGAAAGTACAATGGAAAAAGGTATGAGTTATTAAAAACTGAAAAGGAGGCCTATGATTCAATTAGAAAGGAAGTACTGTGCAATATTTTCATGGAGTTCGGAGTACCCATAAAACTAGTTGCGCATAGTTCAAATGTTGACTTAGGAAATTGCAAGCGGTACTCGACAGCGTTAAGGAAACTTACTTCCACGGTGCTTTTGAAACTTAAAAAACACAATGGGATCACTGTACACGTTCTCAGGGAGACTATTTTGGAGATGGCAGCCAAAATTATGAAAGTTAAGCCAGCATGTTTTTTACCTACTCCGGGAACTTTCCGATAAACCTGATATGCCGTAAAGTGAAACCATCTGAAACGGAAAATAAAATTTAGGACAGTTTAACTTTCATTTTAAACTCTTTTTTTCTATGGCTAATATAGGGTGCCCGGATGAAAGGTATTCAAAATAAGAAATTCAAATCTCGGAAAATAATTGTCATACACGTATCCGGTTTATGTCATCGGAAAGGAAAATCCTCTAAGTTTCTTAATTTTTCCCCCATATCCGGCTTACACGCAAGCGCCGCCACATTTCTGCCACCATGTTAGGAATCACCTGGACAGTGAGATGGCTAGGAGATAGATCGGCAGAGGTGGACCAATCGCTTGGCCTCCTAGGTCGCCAGATTTAACCCCACTGAATTTTTTCTTGGGGGTTATGTGACGAACATTGTCTACCAGGTTAAGATCAACGACCTTTAACACCTGAAAGCCAGCATAAGGGACGCTGTGGCTACAGTACCACCAAACATGCTTCAAGTATGGATATTTATAGTGCCACCAAGGGAGCCCACATTGAAATTTATTGAGAAAGTTATATACTAAGAAAAAACTTCGACAGTTTCCTTTTGTAGTGGTGTAACCCATAAATGTGTATAATAGAAACTTTCTGAGATATAGTAATTTTATTTTGGATAACTTTCATTCGGACATTCAGTATATTTCTATGATACCAAATTGTCATTAGAGCAGCTGAAGATTTCTTGCCTTCCGCAGCAGATTCAGTGTTTGACGCATCTGTTCTAGGAGCAGGTTGAAGCGTTCCAGCTCTTGAAGAAGTACAATTATAGTTGGGGTAATGTTCATCTCGTAAGTCTTGCGTGTTCGAGCAACATCGTAAGGCGGTGGAATTCTCACTAGGATATCTTTGGCAACATTGTCGACAAAATTATCTCTACTTACACCACCACCAGGTCCGCCTAGAGGAACACGTATTACAGACATAAAAAGAGAAGACAAATGATAAACCGTTACCACATCATCCTTTTCTTGGAAAATTATCTTTAAATACCTTATGGAAGTCACTATAATCATGATTTACCTCCATATACACTACTGTCTATATCTAACACACATAGCCCTATACATTTTAATTCAATAAGCAGGACTTGGGAGTATATCTATCTATCTATCTATCTATCTATCTATCTATTTATCTATCTATCTTCATTCCTGTTGCTCCCACTTGAAACACAGGGCATCCGTGAAACAATTCGTTTCATTTCAGTTTCTTAATTTTAGACAGTCGGCAGGACTCCCTGGACGGGGATCAGCCCGTCGCAAGCCCGCTATCTATACACAACACAGACACAGAATAGAAGCAGTCAGACATCCATGCCTCGAGTGGGATTCGTACCCACGATTCCAATAATCGAGCGGGCGAAGTAACAGTAGGATTCAGAAAATTACGTACTTCCTTGAAATACCTCATAAATTATCATCACGAGGCTGAGTGGACCCCGTTCCAGACCCACTACTTCGCAGAAAATCTGGTAGTCCCGGGAATCGAACCCGGACCTCTGGATCTGTAGGCAGGAACTCTGACCACTAGACCACAGAGGTAACCAACATTACAGACGTACTCCACGTCTGAGGCCTGAATATGAGGGCATTACTCGTTTTTTTTTTGCCATAGGCATAATCTAGATCACATATCAAAACTACTGCTTGTAATTATCCAGATATGGTTCTCATGAATTGGAACGGAAAAAGAGGCAATAAAAGAGAAGTGTGAACCACTTTGACCAAAATCGTTGAAATAAGACAGACAAGGATGGAACAAAAGTATAAAAATATCTCTGTAGAACCCATTACTGGCAGAAGTTGAAACAAACAGTAATACCAGTCACACGTGCTGTCCCTTTTATTTCTAGTAAGGTTATCGTTCTTGAAGTGAAAAGCCTCTTAAAAAGTGTTCGGCGAGAGCACCCCCCCCCACACCTACACACACACACACACACACACACAAGCGTACAACCTTTTATTTGGTGTTCAGCAAGATACTGCACTATATGCCGGTGTTTTGTCGATTTATGAAAGCTTAAGCTCGGAAAACCTGAGACATGGGAGCACACGGAAATGCCTGCTCACCTCTCTGAGGCTGAAGTTCCAGCAGGCGATCCCAAAGCTCCTTAGCAGCTTGTGTATAGTAGCCGATCTCAGCGTTGGGATGGAGTCCGCAGACTTCTGGGCCGTTAACCAAGGGCAGTTCTTCGATAGCGTCTGGAGGTAGAGAGACGTGGTTAGTTTCAACAATACGTACTGAACTAAAAATAACCAAACTCCGTGGCTATAGTCCTCAAGCGAACTATACCGACCGAGCGACTGCCGCTTGTCAGCGAAGTTAGTGTCAATATTAGCGGATAGAGGGTGTCGCGTGGTCAGAGCAACTAATCCCCAAGGCCGTTAATTTCGGTTTTCTAGACCGGAGCCGCTACTTTTCCATTCTAGTAGCTCCTCAATTATCCTCATGAGGCTGTGTGGACCCCGTTCACAATACGTACTACGTGGGGAAAGTAGTATACATGAAGAGAGGAAGTAACAGGAGGGTGGGAATACATACACACAAGAATCTTCATAATTTGCCCTTTCATAAAACACTATAAGAGTGATACAATGACGAAGAATGCGACATGGCATGTGTCATGTATGGAAGAGACAAAGAATGCAAATTGTTATTCAGAAAATATCAAGGGAAGACATATCTTTGGAAACACTGAAGTCGATGGGGAGGTAATATTGAAGTGGATCATAAATAAATAAAGCGTGAGAATATAAACTGTATTTAACAGACTTCGAATATTGTAGGATTATTATTACTATTTTTGAGAGGAATTTCACGATCGACTAAGCGACTATCAGGTGCTCACAGACGCTGTTCCATGGAAGCAATTAAAATAATGATTATTAGCTAATGATTTTAGAGTTCGACTATATGTGACAGAAGGGCCGCGCCACAGCTCAAGCGGTTAGTCGCTGGCTTCCCACAGAGGCGGCCCGGGTTTGATCCCGGGTCTGGTCAAGTGGGATTTGTGGTGGACAAAGTGGCGCTGGGGCAGGTTTTCTCCGAGTACTTCGGTTTCCCCTGCCAATCTTCATTCCACCAATTGCTCCACAATCACCCTTACCTATCATCTGGGGCTGGTACAATAGGCCAGAAGTGGCCGCAGTACAGGGGACTTAGTACCACCCCACTAGCAATAAAGAAAAATAATAATAATTCTCACAGACACCAACGTTAGTATTTGTGGCCGTGCCATAGCTCAAGTGGTTAGTCGCTGACTTCCCACCGCGGCGGCCCAGGTTCGATCCCGAGTCTGGTCAAGTGGGATTTGTGGTGGACGAAGTGGCGCTGGGGCGGGGTTTCTCTGAGTACTTCGGTTTCCCCTGCCAATCTTTATTCCATCAAATTCTCCATCATCATAATCACCCGGGGCAGTTACAACAGGCCAATCAATGGCCGCCCTGCCGAGTGGACCCAGCTGGACTCCGCCCCTCACTAAGCGAACGTTAGCATTTTAGCCGCCAATAAACTTTAAACGTGCAGTCAACATTTAATGTGTTGCCGTTTAAAATTCACATTGATACTATATAAACTAATTATAATAATTATTATATCTTTTCCATAGTATTTATAAGACGGATATTATTAAAATCGTTAACAGTGTCACAAAATATTATTTTCCTCAGCTCATCATCTTTTTCTTATAATATAAAATAAATGGAATTAAAATCAAGGAGCCGGGATAGCGTAGTCGGTATAGCGACTGGCTACGGGCTGGACGACCAAGGGGTCGGAGTTCGAGTCCCGACATGGTCAAGAATTTTCTCTTTCCCCAGGGGTAAAGCGGGAGGGGCGTGAAGTTGAGCACTCACCTCCAGCTAGTGCCGGGGTCAAGAAAATGTGAATCTATATATCCACGACCCCAGGCGTCTTCACGGCGTTGTGCTTAATTCGTTAAGCACAGGGACAACTTTGCTTTTTTTGCAAATGAACTTCGACATGCTTTACTATTCAGTAAGTAGGCTTGGAAATATACAGAAATATACTTGTATGATATACGAGACTTTCAGCAAGACTACAGGATCTTCTTGTGACTGCAACGTTTTGACCATAATGTTTCTTTTGCACAAACTGTATTAAATAAACGCATAATACTGAGGTCATATTCTTCCATCTGCCTTTCCACATGTTACATCTCAGAAAATATAGACCACATTGCGATAACAAAGTGTAATTAGGGGGAGGGTTTACAGCAACGATTTCCGGAAAATTTTAATTATTAGTCATACCGATTCAACATCTTAAACAATGCTCAGATAAAAATTTTATCGATTTTGCAACAGAATGTTTCAGTATACAAAAATACATGGCATGAAAAATATATCTCAGTCAGATCTACGAGTCTTATTGCTAACAGTTCTCGATAATTTAAATATTTAACGAGAAACTACGGAAAATATTTTGTGACTTCATGCAGTGGTACCAACAGCTATACAAACATAAATCAATGTCTGCATTAATGGATTTGTGTTTGCAAAATGCGAGCATAAGAAGAATACAGTATGAGAAATTGCCAGAAACATAATTCGGAGAATGTGTTCACTCAACTGAAGCACAATGAGTGTCAGATAATATTTCCCTCGTTATGTTATGTGTACTTACTGAGGTAGCTGTCCCTATCACCTTCGTCTGGAATCAGATAATCCACAGACGTGTCACAGTAGAAGTGATACGGCTGAAACTTATCGAAAAGGAACTCTCCCACGTACTCATCCATGTAGGTCCTGATAATTCTTCGGTCGAATTCGTCTATGACTCGTCCACCGTACATAACCTGAAAACGGAGGATATATGGCCCACTTGAGTATGTTTAAATAATGCACAGATTCTTAAGGGCGTAATCACCCATAGAAATTCCTCAAATTCAATATCTTCGTAATGTTCATCTGGTCCTAATAAAGAGGAAGAGATAAACAAGAAATGTCGAAATACTAGGCAACGACAGTGACCTTGACGCATTTATACATTTCCAAGTAAAATGAAATTGAAGAAAATTTTGTATCAAGCTCAGAAATATTTGTTTCCATCAGAGTAATTGTTATCGAATGACTCTTAGACAATTCTTGCACTGTTTCATTTTACCGCTGAGACTGTTTCAGAAAAAGTGTTATCATTGTTGATTATTCTGTCATCTTAGATATGCAGAGCGATATGCTCCTTAATAATAGCAAGTTACAGTCGATGGCCTTGCAAAACGGGCATAATCAGCATTTGTCCACGGACATTTAATTCTTCCCACTGTTCCGTAAATATTTCCCAGGTCCCAATCGAATAATGTCTCTCTACGAACCAGAGAACTGCATGCTCTGTGTAGGTAAACTCACGAAAGAGAAATCCTATGTTAATGAGTTTCAGTTTCCTTCTGAAGTAAGAATACGGGAAATACGTTGAAATGTTTTTTTTTTCTCTCCTATTGTTGGAACTTTGGAGCACAGGGCTGATTTCTCAGAAAACGGAAATGATCTTTGTAGAAATACGGGAAAGTCTATGTTATTTCGAGCCGCCATATTTCCAAGAGCTCTCAACAAAAATACCTTCCTTATCGATTATACTACGAATAATTTGTACAATTGCATTCGCACGGTTAATGAAAACGAGAACTGAAATATGAGAGAAATTTAAAACAAATATTAAAATACGAATAATTATTACGGATCCTATAATAGGGGGAGATGGAAAGCTAATGTAGGCAGAATGGGTGAAAACGGTGGGTCTAGACACAGCGAAACCGTGAACCCACAATGCGAAGAGTACGGGGATCGAAGGCAGAGACGCCCTGAACAGGGTTATGGAGGTGGAATGAATTCTTTAGTCAGCCTAGGCATCAGGAGGGTACACTTCATGTGCTTACAAAAGATTCCGAAGACTAGGAAGTTACGCCTAACCATACATCTAGCATGTATAGGGAAACGAGAAATGCACGGAGACTATCAATGTGGTAACTGCCTGTAAAGCTGCCACTGAGAACGTGACATGTTGATGGAACTTACGGAGGCAGAAAGTAAATGCAACTTGTCTCGGGACCTTGTACAGGGATGGATTCTGCCATTACCGGAGTTGAACCTTCGGGAGTGAGGCCCAGATAGTTACCGTATTTACGCATGTATAGGCCGCACATTTTTTGCCAAAAATTCAAGAGGAAAACTGGGGTGCGGCTTATATTCGAAATATTCGAAATCCCACTTCATTTTGAAAAAATTATATTCATAATTAGTAATACAGGATGTTCAAAGATCGAGGAAACCGGGGCAGCAGCGTAGAGCGGATGGAACGTTTCTCCGCGACTACTGTGCCCCTCCCCGCTAGCGAGAGTGCAGTCGTGTCGCTGATACCCTTACATCAGTTTCTGTACATGCACGCATTTATAAGAATACTGTAAAAAGATAACACAAACTTACCGTGCTTTATAACAGGTGCTGAAAGTGACCCCCTTCTGCTTGCAAACATGCTTCGCATCGCATGAATAAATTATGCGACACTTTCTGAAGTTGGTCGACGGTAATTGAACCATATTACTGTTCATCACTTGACTCGTTACTGTCGATGTCGCTCTCGCTCGAAGTTTCGCTGTCAGGTGATGTCAGCCATACAGCGTCATCTTCAGTCCCGTCCATTGCGTTGGAAATGGATGTGACTTTAAAACTTTTGGAAACCATTTCTTCTGGTATGGTGTTCCATGCAGCCACAATCCACTCACACATTTGACTTAATGAAGGTTTCTTCAATCGTCCAGTCGGCGTCATCTCCGTGGAACCGCATCTCCAGTCCCGGTAAAAGCGCCGCAAATGAGACTTGAAAGGACGGTTTATTGACACGTCAAGTGGTTGTAACATGCCAGTCATCCCCCCTGGTATCACAACCATATCACTTTTCTCCTGCCTCATCTTCACTTTCACATTTTCAGTTAAATGGCTTCGAAAACTGTCAACCACTAACATTGACCGCTGACGTAAAAGTGCGCCTGGGCGCCGAAACCACACTGATTTCAACCAATCCAGATAGAGCTCTTCTGTCATCCATCCTTTTTCTTGAACTCTCACCAAAATTCCCGGTGGAAGCTTTTCTTTCGGCAATGTTTTGCGTTTGAAGATTACAAATGGTGGTAGTTTGTTTCCATCAGCAGTGATACCAAGCATTACGGTACACCGCTGCTTTTCTGCTCCTGCAGTCCGCACATGCACTGTTTTTTCGCCTGCTTTGTTCACTGTACTTTCACCCGGCATTTCAAAGAACACAGGAGTTTCATCAACATTTCCAATAGCTCCCATGGTGTAGTTGTGCGTCTTTCTTAATTTCAGGACATGTTTTTGAAATGCAAGCAGTTTCTCCTGGTATGTGTCGGGAAGGCGCTGCGCTATTGACGTCCGTCGCCGAATTACAAGATCATGTCGGGCCATAAAGCGCCTTGCCCATCCATAACTTCCCTTAAATTCATTACGAGGAATTTTCATTCTGTCCGCTATTTTGAGGCCTTCAAATTGAATCATTTCCACAGACACTGAAAATCCATCCGCCCGTGTATTACGCACGTATCGCAAAAGTTTATTTTCAAGTTCTGGAAATTTAGCTTTCTTTCCGCGGAAAGATTGTCGATTTTGTGACGTTTTTTCAAGGGCATCTTTCGTTAGTATCCATCTTCGCACATTTTTTTCGTCAACGTCGAATTTTCTCCCTGCTGCTCGATTTCCGTGTTCTTGTGCGTAACGCACCACTTGAAGTTTAAATTTAGACGTATAACCTGCTCTTACTCGACCCATGTTTCACTCAGAACTAACCAGGCAAGTCAAGTAAAGGCGAAAAGGTTATAACTCTCCCCCGCAATGCCTTTGTTCCGAGCGGTACCGTTATTTTCGCTAGTTGCGAACTTAGGAATGTTAAACGTTGCCAAATTTCGGAATAATTTCTACTCCTGAAATAATATTTCAAGAAAATTATTTTTTCTATAATTTCTGTCTGAAAATTGTGCTGCGGCCTATACATGCGTAAATACGGTAATTGGTTATTCTACTCAAAGCAACTTACCTCACCAAAAAGATACTTCAAACTCCCCCAAGGTATCCTTGAACCTTTTGCGTTAGGCGATTTTGATAAGTATATCTGCAGTATCTGCACACAGGCATTGAAATCTGAATCGTTGAAATCATAACAAAGGTTCCAGCCAATCTTGTCGTACTTTCGGCGTTCCTATTAAAAACAATCACCAGAAACTGCGTTTCACTGAACACATAAAGAGCATAACATAGACTTGGCATGCTTAGAGATACTGTCTTGGCATTCGTCTTAAATATTGAAGGAAATCATAAAGAAACCTTAATCAGCAATCCTAACCCGATCCAGATTCGAATTGGGTACCCCCAAATGCAAGTCTCAGAGTGTTACATCTCGGCCTGACAATTTTAATGAAGATTATACCCCAAATTTATTTTTATAAAGAGCAAGTAATATGTATATTGTTCGAATATTCATGCATTAAATCTTAAGTCTGCTACCTGGACCACGGCATGGAAGAACGCCAGGACATAAACCAGTGTCCGGAAAGCTGGATGGCCGCAGCTTTCCACTGTCTGGCTTCTCAGCTTCAAGTAGGTGCTTCTCAGGTTGAGCTTCAGACCGTCTGGAGGCTCTATGACCACTGTCAGGAACACAGTAGACACAGGTCCAGTTCGTCCATTGGAGTCACATTTACGAGTGCTTTATTAAATCTGAGGACCTATTACATTCCTTCTCTCACACAGACCTTTTAAATTACAGATATGTATGTACAGATTAACAGACAAAAATATAACGTGGTGCTAGAATAACCAGCGCACACGCAAGCGCTTGAAGTCACATAATTAGAAAAAAACGGTGATAACAATTATGATGATAACGAACAAGTATTTTTTTTCCTTGGCACTACAGCCCCCAGTGGGCCTAGGCCTACGTCCATGAACTTCTCCGTTCACTTCCGTTTTTCTAAATCTTAGACATACGGTAGGACTCCTTGGGCGGGTGATCAGCTGGTCGCAAGGCCTCTACCTGTACACAAACACAGGAAAACGCACACAAACATCCATGCCATGAGCGGGATTCGAACCCACGTTCCCGGCTTCCAAGCTAGCGAAGACAGTGTACGCCTTAGACCGCTCGGCTACCGTGACCTGCTTAACGAGCAGGAATAGGAGGAGGAAATTAATAAAAACAAGGTGAAGTAGGAGAAAAAGGAGAAAAATGCGAAGACATATAAGGAGACAACGTTTTAAAAATTGGCAGCTTAATTAGATGATCCATATCTAAGTAAGATAATCTGTTGTCTCATTCTCAGGCGCTTACCTTTCAACGAACTTTGCAAGACACCGACGGGAAACGCAGGCGTCGGTGCTGTTGTGATCCACAGCCGAAAATCTGGATGAGGTTTGGTTTCCTGCTCCACTTCCTTCTGCAGGATTTTCATGAGAGCCGGCAGTAGGTGACAGTTTTGAAGCAGCAGCCATTGGCCCTGGACAACAGCAGTCTCTAACATCTTCAGAGCAGTCTGAAATTAATTAAAGAATGACCGTAGGCATATTAATCAGTGTTAACTGAAATTAAATACAGTACATAACGTAAAACAAAGAATGGGTTAATATCTGTAAATATAATCTGAAGCGCCTTTCTGTATACTTTTTTGTTTTTATTGTTAGTGGGGTGGGACTAAGTCCCTTGTACTGCGGCCACTTCTGGCCTATTGTACCAGCCCCAGATGACAGGTGAGGGTGATTGTGGAGCAATTTGTGGAATGAAGATTGGCAGGGGGAAACCGAAGTACTCGGATTAAACCTTCACCAGCGCCACTTTGTCCACCACAAACCCCACTTGACCAGAGCCGGGATCGAACCCGGGCCGTCGCGGTGGGAAGCCAGCGACTAACCGCTTGAGCCATGGCGCGCCCCTTTCTGTATAGTTAGTATTTAGCAGGACACAAGAAAATATCTGTTGATTCTGTACCGTGCCATATCCACAGCATGCTTACGTTTGGTACAGTGCACTTGTATCTGCAACAGAGGAGCATGAATTTCAATACGGAACTCAAAACTGCGAAGAACGGTTTTGCTAAATATCCGTACTCCAAACTACAGTGTAACTTCTAGCGTCATGAGGTCCGCACATAAATTAGTGCCCTAGGGACCCATTGCAGTATCTCACTAGGAGTCGTGGGTTTTTCCCCCAGAATTACATAGCTATTTCCTACATTTCACTATGCTCACAGCTGTAGGTAGCCTGTATACATTGTTCATATTTCCGCTTTTTTAACATTCCAAACCGTCCATATCCTTAGTTTCCTTTAGGCTTAAATAAGAGGCCAACAGATATCCCATTTCAGGATTTGCTACGCACGAGCCTATATCGGCAACACAACAAAGGAATCAGTAAGGTTGAATTAGTTACAAAGCTTTGATTTGTTTCATTCTGGTCCGTCACACCAGCAATTACAAATACAAACCACTCCGTCCAATGTGACATATGAGTTTTTACTATGTGAAAACAACACAGCAAGCCACAAACAAACCCTGGACGACATCAAGAACCTCCTCATCAAGATAGACAGGCGGCACAAAATTTTCCCCATACAAGAAGGACGATAGGAGTACGGACACGAACCTATGTGGTTTAAAAAAATTTTACTATTGACAATAAAGGTTTTTTAAATAACATCTAGAAACTTTTAAAAACTTTACAACACCAGGAAGCTGCTGTGATTGTGAAACGTTCGACTTTATGCGTACTGTGCATTATAGGATATAAGTGTATGTATTTTAAATCAAAACACCTATTGTGATGGTAGTTTCGAGTTTGTAATTATGTTCCCTCTGAAGATGGTCCGTAAGGACCGAAACATATAAGGAAGATACGTTTTCACGTAGTAAAAACTTATATGTCACATTGGACCGAGTGGTTTGTATTTGTATTTGTAGTTACAAAGCACTTGAATATTAATTTCATAAAGGAATTACTCAAAATGAAGGTGAATTTGATGTGCTGCCATATACAGTATATTTAAAATAAATGTCGTGTGTAAAACCAATGCAATAATAGTGCAATCTGCAAAACATACAGAAAAATTAAAACTCACTTTCTAAATGTAGGAATAGTCCGCATTCGGTAAGATTTCAGAGTGTATAAAATTACTGTACACGGTCATCTAAGTACTGTGGCGCATTATAATTCTATTATGACCTTTAAATTTGTATACTTTAGTATACAGAGCTATTACTGCATGTGTAGTTGGTTGAGGCACTATGCTACAAGCCGAAGGTCGCGGGATCGAATCCCGATGAGGTGGATTTTTTCAATTGACCTAATCTTTCCAGCCGCACTGTGGTCCTGGGGTCGACTCAGCCTCTAATAGAAATGAGTACCAGGAATATTTTTGGAATGTTATTTGGGGTAAAGGGCGGCTGGCGCGTAAGACTGACAGCCTTGCTGCCATCTATGAGCCGATTGTCTAGAAAATGTGGGAACCTCAACATCTCACAACCCTATGGGCCTCCACGGCCTGTTACAGGGATAGCTTTGCTTTTTACTTACGTTATTATATGAAGTGGAGAAGATTAAGCTATTCTCTAACAGACCGTCAAGGCCGATAGGGCTGTGAGACGTCGATGCTCCCACATTTTTTCTAGACAATCGAATCACAGATGGCGGTGAGTTAATTAAAAAAAATTAAAGGCTGTTTAAGATTGCTGTTTAATTATCGCCATAATCATGTTGAAAATGTGACGGAACCGTTTGTTCTCTGCTAACTCCTTCTTGTCTCAGTCATGTAATGCAGTGGCTATCGGTTTTTCCGATTTAGAGACCGGTGAATCAGCAGTGGATCTTTGAGAACTGAATCGTATTTGTCACAAATTGCTTGACACAAGTAATACTCTCCTAAATCCATGCAGCTAAGTCCATCTTGAGAAGGTTGTAGTTCCTAAACTGGTCAAGAATATTCCCGGGTTTTATGAAACCCGAAGGTTCATTACTGTTCAGAACTGCCCTACAATTAACCGTACCTCGAATCAGAGGAACCCAGTCCTCATTTTCGGATCCATTTTTATTCTTAAATTCATTCTTAGAAAAATAATTAGACAATAGTCCAACACTATTTTTCCCAAACTTTTCTCATACACGGACAGCCTTGGTTGTTCCGAAAGTCGGTATCCTCTTTGTAACATGTCGTGCTGTATAACTAATAATGTGGAGTTCTAATTATTATATTAATACGTATAATAAAATTATTTTCAATATAATATGTAATATGTGATTAACGCCTTTGTGTTGCATTTAAATCGAATGAGCATTATACAATCATCCACACCGAATATTAACGTTTCAAAAATCTGATGTAACACGTAGATTCATCAATGGACCACAACCTTCCGAGCCCCCTTCATTGCCATTCGTCGCTGGTTATCATTTCTTCCTTCATTAATCCATAGTTTTTATCATTTTTTTATAATTATCTGAATGTTTATAGTATTTATTGTGTAATAACATGTTTCTTATGGATTAAAATTTCAGTGTTTTGTCGCAAAAGTTTGAGACGAAAAACATTATAACGTTGAACACAATGTAGAAACTGAAAGCGAAACAATAGCTGTCTTCATGCAAATAAGTAGTGCGCCCCTTCCACATTTTCCCAGGGGTAAACCGGACGGGGAGTGAAGCAAAACACTCACCACCATGTGCTGAGTTTAACTATGCATCGAAAGTTCTATAAAACCCCCAGATGTGTTCATGACTTGCTTAAACAACGATAATTTAAATTATGGACCGCAAGTGATCCTCGGACAATTGGTTGATAAACACTGGCCTAATACAGGGTGAATCGTATAGAACCGGCCCGATGAATTTGCTAATAATTCCGCAGGTGATGCATATAACCGCTCACAATTACGACATAATAATCCGTGGGCCGTGCTGAGTCGAATGGTGTGCGCATGATCCGGCAAGTGGCAGCCCTTATGCTGCAAGGTCAAGGACAATCCCGAAACGTGTCTGCAGTGCGCAGGCGACAGTCATGGAGTTCACTGTTGAACAGCGAGTGTTTCTAGTGCCTACTTGAAAATGGCGGACACTTTCAACACCTGCTCTGATCACGGCACACAATCCAAGATAAGATATGTGTACATTACTTTAATATCTGTATGGTATATTTTATATTACAGCTCATTTCGTCGGGCCGGTTCTATATGAATCACCCTGTACTTTCTTCACTGATCGTCCTTAGCGTTTTGCTTTAGCTGTCTGTACTTCACCATTTATATGTGAATTTTGTCCTCATTCGGTGTCACTTTTACTAATTCTTTTTATTCGACAGTCTTGAATGTTTAACGATGTCTATTCGTTCTCCAGTTATCTTTCCTTCATACCATGAAATAACTCACGCTATTTCAAACAACTTTCAATAAATAGCCATATTAACATGATAATAGAATCGGTACAGCGGCTGCCTACACGATGGACCACGTAGGGGTTGGAGTTTGAGTCCCGGTAGGGGCAGGAAATATTTTTCTCCGTGTCGTTCAGACCGATTCTGAGGCCCAGTCAGCCTCCTATCTAGTGGGTACCGGGGGCCCTTTCTCCTGAGTAAAGCGGCCGGGTGATAAAACTGACCACTACCCTCCAATAGGTGCCGAGGTCAAGAATGCATGGCTCTATAAATCCACCCTTCCACACGCCTTCATGGCACAGAGCTTAATTAGATGAACATAGGAATAACTTTACCTCTTACTGAACTCACCAGTTCTTGGCCGTGTCCGAGAGCTAGATGACGAAATTTGCTACCCCCAGAAGCAGAACCGTCCGCCAGTTTCCTTAGGTCAGAGGTTGGATCGAATCCTGGAGTAAGAATGAACACAACCGGCGTTGTAGGCGCACTCAGTTCGAAAACGCCACCCAAACTGCGAAAGGAGGTAAATATAACTGTATGAAGGGTCAGCTACTGCAGTTCGGTCGTTTTGAGTTGCTGTTAGAAGTCGGTAGCTGAGGCACGGGGATAGTTCGGGCACCTAGAGTAAGGGAATATCCGCCGTTGGAAGCTGCTACCAAGCAACGATTAGTGAAGACTGCAACAGACTGAGAAGGCCTTTTGTGTCGTGAAGTGTGTAGAACAGTGAGAACATAGCCCTTACTTGTAGTTACGAGTTCTGTGTGTAAATGTCGAATAAATCCAGATACCAACCAAAACCCCATCTGTAGTCACACGCTAACACGTGACAGTATGAAGAAAGCAGTCTTCTGGGATTTGGCACCGTGTATATGTGGTGTTATCCGACGTTTCGGAGGAACGTATCGCCTCCATCTTCAGGGTAGAAGGAAAAATATAAGAAATCCGCAAGCGAAGAGACCGTGAGAACCGGTTACCGGTTCTTCGCTTGCGGATTTCTTATATTTTTCCTTCTACCCTGAAGATGGAGGCGATACGTTCCTCCGAAACGTCGGATAACACCACATATACACGGTGCCAAATCCCAGAAGACTGCTTTCTTCATAGTCACCGCCGTGAAAGCCTCAAATCTTACACGTGACAGTATGTTTGTATGTACAATAAATGAACATCAAGGCCATTTGGAAAATATTTTCACTTCCATTGAGCAGTTCGCCTCATTTTTACGTTCTTTTCGGTCTCGAACATTTTAGTCTGCTGTTCGAGTGGTGGCATGGAAATGACAATATTATTCACTTACCTGATGATTGGGGGGGTTATATACTCTACGCCCATTACTTCTGTAATATAGTTTGTTACGGCTCGGTAAACTCTATCCGCACGAAAACACCGCAGTAACATCAGTTTCTGGAAGGTATTCGTCTTCTGCGTGTACCCATCGGGGAACTCCACGGTCTCAGGTGTGCCCAGTTCGTACCACTGTCGGAAGGAACATACAAGCATGCAGTTAGAGTCACAAGTCCAGAAGTTCCAAGTCGGCTAAGTAGTTCTTAACCATTCATCAGTTGATTGGTTATTTGTTGGTCCACTTAATGAAGAAGTTTAACAATGCGAATTATGCATGGCGCCAAACGGTAGTTATGATTGTGAATGATGAGTTGAAAAGACGCAGACCTGGTCTATTTGACGCCACTTTCATTAAGTTTTTCTGGATGCACAAAGCAAAAAATATTTCACAGGAATATCGTCTGGTTTTGGTGCCGAGATCTGAACCCTCGATCTTACGAATACGAAGCAATCGCTACATAAAACGGTCAGTAATTTTGTCACCAATGGTAAAATGATATATTTAAAGAGGAATTTATTTATCAAAACATTGCGTAAACGATAATTATGTCTATATGTATGAAATAGGCAGCGTTCCTGTCCCTCATAAATTAGAGAAATATGTATGTTGAAATCAGTTGAATATTAAGTTATAAATATTTATTTAATTATCATTTTTAATTTGCTTTCTTGTTACTGATCCATCATGTTGATTTAAATTATAAAAATAGTTAATTACTATTTTAATTTTGTTGTATTGTATTAATAACTGAAATTATATTAACGCGAATATTCTGGGAGAGAGGTAATGTAGGTCTACTTAAAAATTATTATATATTACCGGTCAGGAATATTAGAAACATCAATAATGTTTTTATATGAACAATATGAATATTTATTAAATTATTTAGTAGAAAGTTACATTCTCTCTGCCATAGATCGGTACATTTATAACCAGTCTTTCTTCAAGGATCATAACCCGATCAAAACTATTAAGTGCATAACGCATTTCATGCCTAATATAGAGACTAGCAGTTTTCTTACCTCTTTCCATTTATCAGCGTGAAAATCTATGTCATTTGGAAGATTCTCGAAGGTTTGAGCAAAATCAGTTGACAGCTTCATAATGTCCTCCCAACCCTGAAATATGGAGGCATCATAATCATTACATTGTAAACTATTTCAACTAAACTTCGCCAAAATCCAGTTACACTGTTCAACAGTGAAAATGTAAATTGAACAACAGTATCCAATTCTTATCAACACTGTGGTGCTGATAACGAATATAAAAAAGAAAATTGAAAACTAGCTCTAGTTTTCATTTTACGCAGGTTGGTAACAATAAGGCAACACTACGGGAAATTTGCTTCAAGTTAGGAAAAACTGCTACGATGGAACGGCAACACTGTAAAAAATGTTCGACAGCTTTTCTTCAGTTCCTAACCTTACTTGTGTTTTGGTATTCTTTAAGTAAACGTCTCCTAAATTTTCAGTAATTTGTAATGTGACTTTGATGTTGTTTCAGACGAAAGTGTGACGTGTTTGTGTGAACACTGCTGATATATTGGCTTCCTCTGCGGCGAAGTGGCAGTTCAAGTGATTTCTGTTTGAATAGACAAACATTCGACGTGGTTGTATGGACATTGCCGATAACTTTTTCTGCGTTACCCGCTAAAGCTGGCACTTTACAGCTCTCTCCTCTCTCTCTCTCTCTCTCTCTCTCTCTCTCAGACTTGTTACATATAAACGCTGCCGTCACTGATTTGTGGCACCATCACTTGGAACTCAAGTAAACGGCCAGTGAATGGGGAGTCCCACCCTGGGTTGTTACTGCATAAAGACAAGTTTGTAAATCGTTTGGGTGGATGTGGGACGTGATCTGTTACTCTGAGAGAAGAATATGAACCATTAATACTATCGCAAAACAAAATGCTGAAGAAAATAATTGTGCCTAAGAAGGATGAAATTTAAACTTTGCAACTTACATAATTCGGAACGTCTTACGATAGACTTGGGGTTCTCTCGGTGGCAACTATGAAAAGCGGTATTTTCTGGAGTGTTATGCCATGGAGTCTGGTAGATATTTACCGATATCTAGGAGGACCGTACTGCCTTACTTTCTCTTCAACCCCGAAGATGGAGGCAGCATGTTCTCCGAAACATCGGTGAACTTGTGGACTACATGTGGCAACGTTTCTGAAGATAATACTCTTCATAGGTCACCTCGTATTCAAAGGATAGAGAAATGTAGGAAGTTAGGATGAATTGGCATGTAGCATATACGGAGGAGACAATACATGTAGGCAGAATGATGGATTTGGAACACCGATGTTACAGGATAGTATTAAGTCCGCTCTTACGAAAATTACGTGTGAGGAGGCGACTAATGTCAAATGACGAATCTTGGTACAATTAGTGCCAAGCCTTTGTATTCGGTTAGCATACAGATAAAAATTCTGTTAACTCACTTGTGCAGGTATCCACTTGGCTGGAGATGCCCTTTCAGATTTGGTGAGACTCGCACTTCCCTTGATAAAAAAGTCGACTTCCTCTTGCGTCAAGTTTCCGTGGCTCTGCTCAAATTCCATTGCCATATGTAACGAGAACAAGAGTTTGTGTTCCTCTAACATACCTGTTAAAAATATCACAAAGTTGTATCCGTGGTCAATGGAAAATGGAGAACGTTACGTAATCTTCACAAAATTATTTGGGTGATCAAATCGACGTTTATGGGTTGGTCTGGATATGTAAAGAGCAACGAAGAAATGAGAAATGCACGATTTCAGTGGAAAAGGCTAACATAAATGTACTTAGAAGATCTAGAAATATATACCGTGGTTATTAAAATATATCTTAATGAAATATGATGTGTGTGGTCCAGAATCAACTCTTTAGGCTAGGACGTAATAACGGACTTCGCAAGCGAGGCTTAAAACGCTGAAAAAACTATCAAAGTTCAAAGCGCCTTGAAGTTACTGAGCCATAACAAAATTTACAGGACGAAACCGAAACTTGCAGACTGAAGAAAAATGATGAAAATAGGTTCCAAAGATGTTAAATGTTGTAGTAGGCCGTATAACTGCTTGCATGAGAATAAAGGAAAGCCGACATGTCAAGAGAAAATCAGATAAAATTAATCAATTAAGCACCATGCCATGACTGATGCATGGGAGTTCCACCATACTTGACCTCGGTACAAAACGGAGGTGAGTGGTCATCTTCACGCCCTTGCCGCTTTACCCCCTCTACCCATTGGATAGGAGACTAGAGCTGGTCTGGACGCCGTGAAGTGGAGAAAAATCGCTAGTCACTACCAGGAAACGAACCCCGGACGTCCACCCCTATATGCTACACTATTCAAGTTATTTGTACATTCATATATTAAACTATCTCTTCTTGTGTGAAAATAAAGAAAGCCATGTCAAGAGAAAATCAGATAAATTTAATATGAATAATAAAGAAATAAATGGATTGATCACGCTCAGACATTGAAGGGACTAGAATATCAGAATGATTTTACCCATTTTATATTATCCAGAGTCTCTAAGCATTAGGAAAATTTTAGATTGTGGGTGCCTGAGAACATTTAGGTGAGAACATTTGGGCCCAAAAGAGAGAAAGGAAGAACAGATGGAGTTTGCATCCAGTATTTGTAGAAGCCCCTATCTAATTTTACGGCAACGAAGTCAAGGAGAATGCCATCACTGAGGCATGTAGCACGCATAGGATCAATGTGAAATCCGCATGAAATCTTAATCGCATAACCTAAAGGAAGAAGATGACTTGGGAAACCAAGGGTGGAAGTGGACGACAATATAAAATGGTTCTTAAAGAAACAGGATGTGAGGATGCAAATACGATTCAGCTGTCTCGAGAACAGGTTTCAGTGACGGGCCCTTTTAACATGGTAATGAGTCTTCGGGTTCTACAAACTGTGGGAAAATTTGCAGCAGCTGAGTGACTGTCATCTTCGGAAATTGGATTATTTTCTATGGAATGTATGAATTAGAAGATTTTCGAAGGAAATATCATACACCCTAATTATGAAGGTAATGTCAACTCTAAAGCTTATGACGAAATAAAGAATACAAGAACCGCTGCGCTGTTCCGAGCAAACCTGGAAGAAAATTTCACAATTTTAATGTCATTGAGAACATTTTTGTCTTCTTTTTAAATTATACTGCACTCGCCGATCAACCATAACGCAATGAAGTTCTAGAGTTTGATGACAATGATGTATTATAATTGTTGTGTTATTTTATTTGGCACTAAAAATTTTATATTCATCGAAATTTAAAACTATAAAAATTGTGGCGTCTTCAGGAGAAACGCAGGCAAGGGGGTAAACGTGATGAATATTCTGTACGGTTAGTTACATGAACCTGTCCATCATGAAGCAGCGGTTGATCTATGGAACCGTGCAGATTAGAGGACTTATCTTCCCTATCCTCTGTATTTCGACTGAAGATGGAGACTGAAATTGTCCGAAACGTCACAATATTTACAATTTTTAAATTTCGAAACATGAATATATTGTAATGAGGATGGCCAGAACGTTGCTAAGCAACGTCTCGGTAAACAAACGTCAAAAATAGAGAGACTGTTTTCTATGTGGTCCGCGCCGCGACCGCTGCTATGCAGTGGTTCAGTAAACATGTTTCAACAATGGAAGACGATGTTTTCCACGGGGTCCGTGCAAATGACATCTTAAAAATAAACGGAGCTACGATTCAGTTCTCAGTTCTGAGTTCTCTGTAGAAGATAGTTACGGAAAGTTCGTCGGCCCGTGAAGATTTAAAGAGTGATTAGAAAATTTTATTCGTGAGTAATGTTTGGAGTGGGTGAGTCAGTGAGACTGTTACAGTGCCGGCGTTTTCGTTGTGATACCAGGAGAGGATCAGTGTGTGTGTGTGTGTGTGTGTGTGTGCGTGTGTGCGTGCGTGCGTGTGTGCGTGCGTGTGTGTGTGTGTAAATCCGCGATAGCGCTCTATTTAAATGTGATTAAGAGAGACTGTAACCAAAGTGCTAATCAATCTAATCATCCGAACTAGAACACACGTCATTCTCGTCACACGTGACATTATAACAAAGTGAAGCTCCGCAGATCAACGCAGTGTTTACACTCACCCGTACATCCAAAGTCGTAGACGGCTTTTGTTAGAGCAATGATGATATTCGTGAGCCGTTTGCTGAGAATTGTGTCCGGCAGGGCTCTGCGCGCGCAGGTTGCAAACACTTGCATGTAGGCAGAAAGGGAATACTGATACATGGGATTCACTCTGGCCATATCCAAAAGGACGAAAAACAAAATGGCTCCACGTTCAGCTACGGGCCTGTATCCTTCTCGTAATCTTTCAATGTCCTTTGCAGTCTCAGACGCTAACTCCAGCCTCCTGGTCACCTGGTGACATAACGTACAGTCACAGTGTTATAATTAACCTTCTTCTTCTACACAAGGTAAAAGGTGAAGTAAAAGTAAAGTTGTCCCTGTGCTTAACTATTTAGGCACTGCGCCATGAAAACTTATGGGGAGGTCGATGTATAGATCCACATTTCCTTGACCTTGGCACTATTTGGAGGTGAGTGGTCAGCTTCACGTCCCGGCTCCTTTACCTCAAGGAAAGAGCCCCTGGTACCCATTGTATAGGAGGTTGGGTGAAACCTAGAGCCGGTCTGGACTCGAAATCCGACACCTCGGTCGTCCAGCCCATAGCCGGTCGCTATACCGACTGAGCTATCCAGGTCCCCAACTACACAAGGTTTGAAGGAAAAAAATATCATCTCTTAAAACAGTGGGCTAAGAAGTATAATGCTTTGCTCCTAACCAGTAGAAGCACTTGATGAAAATGCTTGTAACAGCGTAGGGGTGGGAAATTAGTTTTACTCAACGGCAGAGGTCCTTGTTGGAAAAAGATTTGCTACTAAAGTACTTGAATAAGGATCCTAATTATTACTGCTGACTTCACATGAATTAAAGAGAGCTTATACCGAATACACAGATTTGGAAGCGATATCCTAACTTGTGTTCAATGTTCTCAAGTTAAGATATGTGTTAATTTAAAGTTGAAGTGGGGGCCATTTGCTCGTCTTAAATCAAGTTGTAATTTAATAAAATAAAGTAACAATTTGGACAGTCGATAAGAGTCCTCGGACGGGTGATCAGGTCTTCGCAAGGTCTCTGCCTATACAGGACAACAAAACAAATAAACAAACTCCGTGGTTTTAGTCCGCAAGTGAACTATACCGACCAAGCGACCGCCGTTTGTCGGCGAAGTTAGTGCCAACTTTAGCGGACAGACGACGTCGCGTGGTCAGCGCAACAAATCCCCACGGCCGTTAATTTCATTTTTGTAGACCGCAGCTGCGATTTCCTTGAAATAACTCCCCAATTATCCTCACGAGGCTGAGTGGACCCCGTTCCAGACCCACTACTTCTCAGAAAATCTGGTAGCGCCGGGAATCGAACCCGGGACCTCTGGATCTATAGCCAGGAACTCAGACCACTACCCCACAAAAGCGGTCATCTTTGACACTCATAAATAAAGTGTAAATGATTATGTAATAGAACACTGAACTCGCCGAATTTATAATAAGAAATTAATTTACCTCCTCAGCCATCTCCTTGGTCTCTTCCAGAGTTGCAACCAATTCAGTGTTGTTCAAAATATTCCCTGTGGATACGGATAATTCTTGCAATAAGCAATCTTCTAAATCCTTCAGATGATTCCTGTCTCGAAACATCTCTTCAATCAATTTCTCCCTTTGTTCTTCAAGTTCACATCGTTCATTGCGCACCACCACGCTCAGTAGCTGATCTTCTAAATTCTGAATAAAGAAACGTACTCTGTACCACCAAAATATCACATTATTAAACTAATTCTATTAAAAAACAAACTCCGTGGCTTTTAGTCCTCAAGCGAACTATACCGACCGAGCGACCTTCGCTTGTCAGCGAAGTTAGTGCCAACTTTTTTGGATAGATTGTCGCGTGGTCAGCGCAACGGATTCCCACGGCCGTTAGTCTCGGTTATCTAGACCGGAGCCGCTACTTTTCCATTCAAGTATTCCTCAATTATCCTCACGAGGCTGATGAACCCCGTTCCAGACCTATTACTTCTCAGAAAACCTGGTAACGCCGAATATCATACCCGAGAATTCTGGATCTGTAGCCAGGAACTCTGACCACTAGACCAAAGACGCAAATATCCACGAAGGCTTAACAAAGTCCTAAGATATTGTGTGAGCACAGATAAACTCCCACACATGACAATCACAAACACACACACATGTCCGAATGTATTCGATGATCATTAGTGCGCTAAGCCATGGCCGACTTCAGTTAGCACCTTGCTGTTGTATAGACAGTATCTCATGATATATAGCATTGATTTTCTCTGGATTTCCCGCGCCCTCATGACTCGCAAGAAAGATAAATTATGCTAGGAATTTAATTACAAATTGAAAATATGTGAAGAGAATAAGACTTGGCTCATAGAACTTGGGCTTCTTTATCAGAGTCCATGACATACCAGAATTTGCATCTCAGGAATGAAACCCTGCTCAATTTACTTATCAAATATGGAATTACTTTTATTGCTCACCGAGTCAGTGACTGTGTAATTTATGACGGTGGTCTTTGCGTACACAGCTGGACTGAAAACTGGGTTGGCCAGCTTCGTAGTAAAGTACATCCGGAAATTGGAGTCGTAATCTGCTTCCTTGTCTCCCAGCACAACGAATGATCTGCCGTTCAGAACTGAAACAGAGAGAAGAACCTACGAAATTCATGGAAGCTTGTAGTTCAGCAACTTCTCACATGAAGAGTGGTATCTTCTGGGATGCGATGCCTCATAGTCTAACAGGAGTGTGCCTACAATTCGGAGAAATACTCTGCTTCAGAAATCGGGGTAGAGAAGATAAGCCTAGCAATAAACAAGCATCAAGGAGCTCTCTGCTTGTTTCCCGCTTGGCTTATCCTTCATCCCTGAGGACATAGACAGAAACTTCCTCCGAAACGTTCTTAAAATTCTGCCAACACTGTTGGAATCTTAAAACTGTGGCAAATTTCAATAAGAAGTTCTGTTGTTTCCATTGTGTTATTACCGTTTAAATTGAAAATTTTTCGTTTTATTTTGTTCTTCTGTGCGTTTGTTACGCCAGGTCATAGTAGCCGCATGGTCTAAAGTATGGACTGTCTTCGCTAGTTCGAACGCTGGGATCCTGAGTTCGAATCCCACTCAGGGCATGGATGTTTGGTGTGTGTATGCGTTCATTCCTTGGTTGTGTTGGCCTGTGGTGAGGTAGTGGCCTTGCGACGGGCTGATCACTCGTCTAAAGAGTCCTACCGACTGTGAAAAATGATTACGGTACTGAATAATAGACCTGGGCCCTCAATGGGCTGAAGGAGTCATTTATTTATGTTTGTGTTTCATTACGTGGGTTTGTTATGAAAAACTTGGCCGCCAATACTGACGCACCTCTCGATCTATTCACAAGCACACATCCGTCTGGAGGGCATCTATGCCTACTTGCCATGTCCGTCCGCAAATATGAGCACGCAAACACGATTTTTTTTTCTTGGCGCTACAGCACCAAATTGGGCCTAGGCCTACCTCCATGAAACTCTCCTTTTTACTTGGTTTACTAGAGCTTAGACATTCGGTAGGACTCCTTGGGCGGGTGATCAGCTCGTTGCAAGGCCTCTCCCTGTACACAAACACAGAAAAATGCACATCAAACATCCATGTCCTGAGTGAGATTCGAAACCACGATCCCGGCTTCCGAGCGAGCGAAGACAGTGCATGACTTAGACCGCTCAGCTAGCGTGACCAGCACGCAAACACCATACCGGTTGTAATTACATTTGGAAATGTCTTCCTGTAACAGATCTACATAGGTTCAAACCATTTAATTTTGGGGTAGTTTGGTTCATCGGATACATATGGCCTATAATTAACATTTCTGAATGTTTTGTCGTTTTATGGATTCTGATGGAACGTACTAACAATCCGGTGGCTGCAGTGACCTGCTCACGCTGGTTCCTCGTTCGCGGATTTTTATACCCCGAAAATGGAGGTGATATATTCCTCCGAAACGTCAATTTACACAATATCTACACGGCGCTACATCCCAGAAGACGGCTATCTTCTAGGTAATTATGTTCTACATAAAGAAGTGGAACATTTTTATCTTTCATCTCATTAGCACAAAACAGCCCTTAAGTTTCGTCACGTTACGCTTGTTAGTGGCATAAGTAGGGCTTACAGCAGTTTATGATCTATAACTTCTAATTGAAACTCATTTCCATAGTGTAAGTCCGTCTATTTAACGAAATACAAGAAACAAGGTCCTTCACTCTGTGGAGTGCCACTTATTCTAGACCATTAGACAAATAATAAAGAAATCGAGCTTATATTAAAAAGTCACAAAGATGCATCGACCATTCGTAAGTTCAATTTACCGTGTCTTATGTTTAAAAAAATTAATATATTTTCATTTCCTAATTAATCACGGCCGGTCACGGTAGCCGAGCGGGTTCGAACCCGGCGGAGGTCGTGGAATTTTTAAAGGCGGAAAAATTCAGGGAACATGTCCTCCGGGAGGGACTTTAAGCCATGGGTCCCGTGTCGTAGATTTACGGCACGTAAAAGATCCTCATGTCTCTAGGAGACCTCTGAGCAAAATTAGTTAGGCAACAATTTCCCGCCCAAGTAGTTTCCAGGTACCGACGGCCGACCTCGTTGGCTGAACGGGGCTAATAACACGCACCAGTACCGGTAGTGTATGGGGACAGTAGAAATTAAAGGGGGACGCACAATGGACCAATAACTGGTCTAAGTGCATGGGGAAACCCACCCCCTATAATAATAATAATAATAATAATCTTCGCTCGCTTGGAAACCGGGATCGTGGATTCGAATCCCAATCAGAGCATGGATGTTTAGTTTCTTACGACGAGCTTATCACCCGTCCAAGGAGTCCTACCGAACGGAGAAGTTCATGGAGATAGGCCTAGGCCCACTGGGGCTGTAGTGCCAAGGAAAAATAATTAATGAAGACGCCGATCACTGTGCTCACGCGGTCTAAGGCATGAACTGTCTTCGCTCGCTCGAACGCTGGGACCGTGTGTTCGAACCTCACTCAAGGCAAGGATGTCTATATGCGTTTATTCTGTGCTTGTATTGTCCTGTAAGTAGGTATAGGCCTTGCGACGGGCTGATCACTCGTCCATGGAATCCTATCGTCTGTGTAAAAATGATTACAAAACTGAAGAAGAGGCCAGGGCCCAGCAAAAGGCTGTAGATCCATTGATGAATGAACGAATGATGATCAATGTAGGTTAAGTATACGGGTAATTTAATTAGGGCGTATTCATAAAATCACTGACCTTTAATATTCTTCTCCAAGACATCATCTATAACAGGATCTATATAATCATCAATGTCTTGAAAGAGGACAGGGAATCCGCATTTCATGGCCACCTCAAGATGTCTGAGGAAACCGGGATCGGTGAAACTAAGAATCTTGAGATTTTGTTTTTCTTCTTTTTTCCTGATCCAGTGCAGAGCCTGAGAAAAATTAATGTTATCTCATACACTGCTGAAGAGGACAGCGCTAGTCAACGTTTCTGGTGAGTGGCTACTAACAGTATAATTCCCTACCTGTTGTTGGGGATCAATGCAGAGCGGAAAATGACTCGCCCGTGTCGTCAAAATCCCGTTCTGTACTGACAGCTCATCTGGAGACAAACCTTCCGATATCCATCTGCAAACTCATGGCAAAACGAAAATAAATCCACTTGAAGAATGCCGTCTTCTGGTATGTGGCGCCCTGTAGATTTTACGTTAACCGACGTTTAGGAGGAAAGCATCGCTTCCATCTTCAAGGTATAAGAAATTCGTGAACGATGAACCAGCGTGAGCAGGTCTCTGTAGACACCCTCAAGATGGAGGCCGTACATTCTTTCAAAACGTCGGTTAACTGAATATTTCTTATACCCTGAAGATGGAGGCGATACGTTCCTCCGAAACGTCGATTAACAAAATATTTACACGGCGCCACATCCCAGAAAAGAGCATTCTTCATAGTCACCGCCGTGAAAACTTCAGATCTTACATGAAACACATTGAATTATACATTCCCAAATCTGGAGCTTCCATGACAGAAGCGCTAGAGTCTCACCTGCTTATCTCGACATCGTTGCTGAGGACCTTCTCCGGCCTAATGTGTTTGGATAGAGGCAGGCCTCGACCTCGGAGATCTACTTCCCAGTCCTCGTACAGCATCTGACGCCGGAACTCCCAGCTGAAGACCCCAGTGTAGCTCAGGAATGAAGCTGAGATGAGACAGTCTCCAAGGAGCATTTCCCTCTCTTCGCGTAGGTTCGCCAGCTCTTCAGACCACCTGCATTGCAATATACCCTTCACTCAGATCCATCTAGTGTATGGGATGGAATTCTAAGAAACAAACGCTAAATGAAACAAAGATAAAGGGGAGATTTTGTAACGCGTTACTGGCCTTTATTTCTTATTTATGAACTGCGTTATACGAGTACACAAATATTTCGGATGATTTATTAAACAGAAATATCATGTCAATGATTTCAGTAACCTTCTTAGAGGTTTCCTGGCATCTTTGATGTATTTCCAGAATTTGCTTCACACAATATAATCAAAATACTTTCATTTATCCGTCCGTCCGCATGTTCCATATCTGAAATTACTTGAAAAATGTTAGTACGTAATATTTCACGACGAGAATATGGACTAAAATTTATCCCTTGAATTTAACATAACTTCTACTGAGGCGTACTACCTTCTGGTATGTAAAGACATGGAACCTGCTACCTCCCTCTACAGTCTACACAGAAGAAGAATGATCTAAACCAGTAGCCAGCAAGAAGAAATACAGTAGTTGACGTCAGTAACCGTGGGCAGACTAATCGGCTTTACATCCATAAGGGCGGCCGCACACCAACTGCGTCAAAACAAGCATCAAGACATGAGACAAAAGACGCAGTCTTGCTTCATTCGTGATTTCTCAGCATGAAGCTGACGACAGCATCATGACTCAGACCGGTGTGCGGCGGTTTTCATAATCTCATTCGCTTCAACTGTGTTCCTTTCTTTGCGTCATGTCGTAGACATAGTGTCTTGACTGTTACATGTCTTGACGCATGCCGATGTGCGATCTATCTTACAGTCACTGCCATGAGAACCTCAGTCTTCATGTCATTTAATTTTGGAAGAGACAATTTTCAGTCCACTAGGCACATAATTTTGTTTTGCTCCAAAATAATCTGAATAATTTCCAGAGTGGCCAGGATCTCACCGAGCCTCCTTGGTGCTCAGACCAGAGATAAGCTTATCAGCGGCAACAATGCGCCTCTGCATGATGTCTGCTTCTTCTCCCACTCTGTGCCTCTCCCCCATCGCACCGCCGTATTTCAGTTCAAGCGCCTTTAAATCCTCTTCCAAAGTATTAATCTCGCTGTTCAGTTTGTCTAAGTCTCCTTTAGCCTGAAAACAGAATGCATTTATAGACACTGTCTGTATTCTATATGATTATGGAAATATTCTGATGACACTAAAAGTTTATATCTGTTACATTTGATTCGTACTTCGAGCTATGTTATAATAGGCCTATGGGCTAAAGTCTAAACTATCCCTGCAACAGGCCATGGAGGCCCATAATGTTCTGAGATGTTGAGGGTCCCACTTTATCCACACAGTCGGCTCACAGATGGCGGTAAATTTGTCAGATTATAGGCCTATAAGTGATCTCGAAATTGGCTTAATCTGTGGTAAAATTAAGATAAAGAATATACTGTAAATTTTACTCCAGACGTATTTCTCTCGGGTTAGTGTTGCTTAGAAAGATGATTGATTTTGAGGCCTGTACGGTAAATAAGTCGTGTGAACTGCAAATACAAATGTAAGAGCGAAACTTTTGTACCTCTTCTGTATTAAACACGTGCTAATCCTCAATACAAACAAAATATTAATTTTAATGCCATAACTAAACAGATATTTGTAGAAAGACATCCAATTTAACTTCTTAAAAGAACCTTGCAAATATTGTAGGAAATCAAAGCTAATCCATAACATCAGACGTAAGAAATTAAAATGCCAGGAGCCGGGGTGGCGTAGTCGGTATAGCGACTGGCTACGGGCTGGACGGCCAAGGGGTTGGAGTTCGAGTCCCGGAGGGTCAAGAATTTTCTCTTCTCCAAATAGTCCAAACCGGGTGTGGGGTTCACCCAGCCTCCTATCCAATGGGTACAGGGGCCCATGTCCCCGGAGGTAAAGTGACCGGGGCATGAAGCTGACCACTCACCTCCAGCTAATTCCCAGGTCAAGAAAATGTGGATCTATACATCCACTTCCCCACACGCATAGGGACAACTTTACCTTTTACAAATTAAATTGCCAGATTCAATTAATTTGACTCAAATAATTTCAGCAACAAATATTTTCATAGTATTTATTGCATGTGACAATATTTCCAATTTTGGGGTTCGTAATTATAATTTACCTGTTCATAATCTCCCTGAAGTTGGGAGACACGATCCTTTTGGGGTTTCACTTCCCTGTAGACGGCGCAGTACATCAGCAAAGCTTCTATGAATCTCAGGAGTCCCTGTCCAGCTTTACCGATTTCAGCCATGTGATCAATTTTCGACAATTTCTGCAAAATTAACAACACTGAATCTGGAGCGGTAATGGCTTACAAACTGAACCTTATGGATACTGTAGGGTTCTGACGGTGGTGTATAACACACAGAAATGCTGGGTTTTCGGACTTTGCCCATCGTCCGGATTCTAAATAACTAAGAAAAGAACACAACGTTTAGGAAACTGGATCTTTTTTTTAAATGTTGTGTTTTTTCTTTCTTAGTTATTTAGAATCCGGACGATGGGCAAAGTCCGAAAACCCAGTATCTGTGCAGGCTGAACCTTACTTATCCTCTCCTTTCATAGTGAATTACTGGAACTTCACAACGGGATTTCAAATGGACAGATTCCTAAACATGTTACATGAAAAAAAAATTATTGCGTTTCTCACCCTAAGGGTAGAATATTAGAATGAGAGTGTTGAAAATCAAAATCCTGATGATAATATTTTGACAAAGAGAAAGGAGGAAACATAGGTTATGTAATGAGCGTTATAATTTTTACTTTTTAAGAAATATTATCACGGTCACCGAAACATGGAGGGTGAAATGAATCGGACAAACAACTTGCATCGGAAAGCTCAGAAAATCTTAAAGGAATTAACTACTTTTTAGACCTAAGAGAAGACGGGAATATAATATTGTCACGTGTCACAGTGATTAAAGACGGGGTTCGGATTGGTAATTGGTTTCGTTTACGATTTACAGGTCGTAACTACAATTAATTATAAAACTGTTACTTGTTTTCGCACTCCAAAGCACTCCACACTAATCTCTTCAGTTTGTCTGCACTAGTCTTCACGGATTTATAACAGTAACGAAATCACACACCCCCAGTACCACTGCATTGTATCACACATAAAGTCTTCAAATCACACGCCAAGTCTTCATATGCTGACCTCCTGTACTATATTAAAATAGATCATAAAGAATTTGCACTCAGCCACTAACAGAAATGAGTACCAGGAATTAATTAAATAATTTTCCTGGGGATTAAAGCGCGGCCGGCGCGTAAGGCTGACAACATTACCGCCATCTTTGAGCCGATTCTCTGGATAATGTGAGACCCTCAACGTCTCACAACCCTATGGGCCTTCACGGCCTGGTACAGGAATAACTTCACTATTTTTACATAAAAAAATACGTGTAAGTGTGCATTAATTTCAAATGGCTGAGGATATAATCTAATGAACCACCTGGCACTACAGATATGAGTACTTTTGTATCAGCTAAGCATCGGTCAAGTTCTCGAGAATCCACTCCTAGGATATACTAGATCTGTCTTCTTGAAAACGTATGATGATTGTGCATGTTTACATGGCGATAAGAGGCGCAGATCTTGATCTGGACAAGCTTATTTCTGTAGCAACTGCACATACAAGTATACTGTTTGTGAGGATCCTGGGTATGGTGGACAGTGAAGAAGCGTATTTGAAGTTTGAGATATTGAAGAAATGGAGCAGTCCTGAGAGCAGGTGTGATTCATGATAGTTTTATAAAATTTGAATAATTTTGGCAAATTAAGTTTAAATCTTCGAATGTTGGACCTATTCTGAAAAAAAGAACATAGGAAAATAATTACGAAAATCCTAGTCTCTCAATCTGTGTTACCTTCATGTGGGCCCTGATTGCCCGGAATTGTGCTCCAGTGATTGAATCACAGTTAGTTTCTTGGAGCGTCTGTAGAAAGTTTGGATCTGTCATCATTCCTTTTGCTACTTCCCAGCTGACGTCTTTACATCCCCCAATGATCGCCACACATTCACACACCACCATTACTGGCTCAGGAGGTGTGGCAAATGATCTGAAATATAAGTACATATACGGTATATAATAACTATTCAGGTTTACGTCCTTCTGGCACACTAACCGAAATGAGTCCAGCAGAGAATTGTAGAGTCGAGTCGAGTCGAATCTGACTCAGCAATTTGCTGAAAAGTCATACCCATTAGTTTTGCATAGAATTCCTTCATAATGTTATCACAATGCATGGGCCGATCCGAATCGAGCCGAGCCGAGCAGAATAAAGATGACCACCAATTTTGCCGCATGTTATTAGGTCAGGCTCGATTCGGCTAGACCGCACTCTATTCTATTAGTGTGCAAGATGCTTTATAAATCCGTATGCATATATAGAGGTCTGGAAAAAATAATGGAGACACTAAGAAATTGAGGAATAGAATTTGTTTCGATTAAATTGTAAGAACTTTAGCTGGCAACACAGAATGTTCTTCTTCCGTTTGTTTACACTCTGTAATGCTCTTGTCAGTGATTCAGCTGGAGACTGTTCAAAACTTGTACGAGTCCATTCCAAGAAGAACTGCGGCTGTATTTAAGACAAAAAGTGGTCAAACACCATATTAANCAGAAGACTGCTTTCTTCAAAGTTACTGTTGTTCATCTCGCCACACATTTTTAATTCATACCTCCAAATTTGGCAGCAGTGAAAAATTACATCTCTCAGGTGATAGGTTATGTTTCAGGACATCGTTTCGCTGAAATTTTATTTGGCTTCTAATGGGACTTGAAGATAATACTGGATTATTAGCAGGCAGGAATTTAGAATAAGGCAGTCGTGACTTATTTAAGGGTACTCTAGTAGAAGTCGAGTGAACATACTGGGGAAATCCCTGAAAACACTCTGACAAAATAGTAACCCGTAGCCTCCCGAACACAGGTCCATATCTGCGTACTCATACCCCTGCATAATGAAAAGTATTCGAAAAACATTCTGATTCTGACTAGATAATTTGTAGAGAAATAGAGAAATAGGCTTCAAAATAAAAATAAATATGACAGAATAGCAAATGATCTGCTTAAGCATGGATCCTATGTGACCTGATTTCAGTGATGTCGCTCTTGTCCAGCTGGCTCAGGGCGAAACGAGCCGCTTCCAATGCAGGCAATGCTTCAGCCAATGCCTCCTCGACTTCCGACTTCTCCGCTGCTAGTGTCTTACCCTGCTCCTCGAGTTCCATACATTTCACAGTAGCGGCTTCTTTCTTCTTATTGGCCTTCGCAGTTGCTGCAATGAGCAGTGTGTGTCCTCTTACGTATGTACAAGTAGATTAAAGGCCTAACATTAAAATCAACAAAACTAAAATTTTACTTTGTGATAGTATGTGAAGTCACGACCTAAGTATGTGTCATGTCTTTTGTTATGCCGATTTTGCAGAGCCGTTCCCTAGCAACGACTCTCTTTGCTGGTTTCACAGTTCTGGCTTTCAGCAGATCTCCCACACTATTAGGACTGCTACATGTTTAAATCTTAAATGATAATCTTCCGCAAGAAACTGTAACTGTCCAGTTTATGGGAAGGTCAATTGATGTTTGTGTATGGTTAGGGTTTTGTGAAATTCCTCACTTTCGCCTCACAATTTGAAATTTTCCCCCTGAGACAAGCAGCAAGTGGCTTGGGTCAAGCTTGAAGCCAGCTGCCCTTTCGTAAATCAGTTAATTTAATGCGTAACACAAGGCCGAGTTCTTTAGAAATTCTAAACTTGACAGGGGAAGTCATAAATTTAGCAGTGTCGTTTCCTGCTACCCCAAAATCTCAGTTTGACAGCCACGCAGCAGGTGGCAAAGTTCACCCCTAAACTGTACACTAGTGGATATTCGCTTTCCTAAATGGAGGAGAATGATAAGCAACCTCCCAGTCTGCCCGGTCCAGCCAATCATCGTCTGAAGTGGGAGGTCCTTTGCCCGAATTTTGAGTAACCAGGGCAAATATTTACCATTCACAGGGTGCTTGGCTAAGAGACTTTGGAAGTTACGTTCACCGGGGGTACACGTGTTCGGATCCCCGTAAACACGCCGGTGGTAACTATTAAGTGTGCGTCCCCAGAACAGTAAGCCTACATTCACGAATCTGTGAAGGGTACCAATACGGGCCGTTTCTATTTAATTAGTGCTGATTTAATAAAGACTGCATACAGTTAATTGGTGTTGTGGTGATTTCCCTACGCCAAAAGCCCCACTAATCACCCAAGTCGTGGCCAATCAACACGCCCTGAAAGGAATCGAATTGCTCTACCGGAGCTAGCAGAACTGAAGAAGGACGGTTACAAAACCAAATATTAAAAAAAGTGTTTTAAATGTATATGAATGGATAAGGAATTTAATTTTTCAGCCCTGAAATTTTTATAGTGTTAAAACTAATGTTATATTAAAATCCATTGATGTGAATCGTTGTTCAATGCAAATCTGTTGATAAATGGTGCGTCATACTCTATTGCCTATCGCTGTCTCATGCTCTGAATCATTGCGTCTTACGAGTAAGTACCACCCAGCGGTACCGTGCAACGCCACCTTACTGACACCGTAAGAGGGCATGAGGCAGCAACACACAATTCAGTAAGAGGCGCCGTCAGGCCGCGCCATAGCTCAAGCGGTTAGTCGCTGGCTTCCCACCGCGGCGGCCCGGGTTCGATCCCGGGTATGGTCAAGTGGGATTTGTGGTGGACAAAGTGGCGCTGGGGTAGGTTTTCTCCGAGTACTTCGGTTTCCCCTGCTAATCTTTATTCCACCAATTGCTCCACAGTCACCCTCATCTATCATCTGGAGTTGGTACAATAGGCCAGAAGTGGCCGCAGTACAAGGGACTTAGTCCCACCCCACTGGCATTAAAAAAAAAAGAGGCGCCGTCTATTAGGAAAGTTGAATTGGACAACGGTTGACATCAACGAAAGGCAATACTGTCTCAGTTTTAACTTTTCGTGAAAATTATGACATGAACACTTTAAATATTGTATTCATATATGTAAATTGTAAAGTCTCCTTCAATATCTGATATTCCTCCTGAAGATGGTCATTTATGACCGAAACATGTCGGGGTCTTAATGACATTTAATCGTCAGAAGATAATAAATTCGATATACTCTGATGGAATTTTTGTCGTCTTATTTTACCGTAAAGATGTATAACGGCAAAACGCACCATATCAGTTTTTATTGCTAGTGGGGTGGGACTAAGTCCCTTGTACTGCGGCCACTTCTGGCCTATTGTACCAGCCCCAGATGATAGGTGAGGGTGATTGTGGAGCAATTGGTGGAATGAAGATTGGCAGGGGAAACCGAAGTACTCGGAGAAAACCCATCCCAGCGCCACTTTCTCCACCACAAATCCCACTTGACCAGATCCGGGATCGAACCCGGGCCGCCGCGTTAGAAAGCTAGCGACTAACCGCTTGAGCTATGGCGCGGCCCTCGTTGAGAGTTAAGTTAAAAGCTAACACGGTATTAATTTTAAAAGCCTAAAAATATTTCATGCCGGTCACGGTGGCCGAGCGGTCTAAGGCATGTATTATCTTCGCTCGCTTGGAAACCGGAATCGTGGGTTCGAATCCCACTCAGGGCATGGATGTTTAGTTTGTGTGTGTGCGTATTTCTGTGTTTGTGTACAGGTAGAGGTCTTGCGACGAGCTGGTCACCCGCCCAAGGAGTCCTACCAAATGTGTAAGATCTAGAAAAACCGAAGTGAACGGAGAAGTTCATGGAGGTAGGCCTAGGCCCACTGGGGCTGTAGTGCCAAGGAAAAAAAATATTTCATACATTTTAAGCAAATAAAAATGAGGTTAAAAAATTGGAAGTTTGACTATGTGACTTGTTGATGCAGAATTGTGCAGTCTTAAAATGAATTAACACTTGAGTAGTGGATTCGGATCTTTCAGACGGTGGGAATCCATTCCGCGAGATAACCATTGCCTCTTATCAGCTTACCATTTATTTTATTCCCATTTTGGAGCTCTGCCATGGATTACATCCTAAGCGGATAAAGTACTTTGGACTTATAAACCCAGAAGAAAACATTCCAGGCAATTAAAATAACGCCCGAACAGGGACTCGAACCCTGGACCCTTAAGTTAAAAGCCTAATGCTCTACCAACTGAGCTAATCGGGCTTAGTAAGATTGGGTATCTGAGATGGTATATGACTCATGGACAATTTTCATTCTGGGTTAGCGTTCTGAAAACTACGGATATAAATAAACATATAAAAAGGGGATGAAGTGAGGAAAAAATATTGTACACAACATTTTTTATACAGCCGACCCAGAATTTGTTCCGTTCGACAATAAGCTTAAGGACAAATGTACACAGTGACTACATGTTCTCAGAATAGACTTACCTTAATATTATATTTTAGTGTCCTGTTGCACTGATTCGCGTCCATTGTGTGTATGTATTGACCGTCTTCTAGTGCATATGATCTCACTTGTCACTTCACTACATGTTTCGGCATCACTGTG